TTTTTGTCCTTCAGTTCAATTTTCTTTTTGTCTTTCAGTTTAGGTAACATCTTCAGTGCTAGAAGGAGGGGGTTGCAGTGAGGAGGAGGAGGAGGAGGAGGAGGAGGAGGACTGTAGGCTCCTGGTGCTCTCTGAGCTTGGTTCTTGCAGACACTTCCTGACCTAACTAGGTAACTAACATCATCAGTGCTAGAAGGGAGTTAGGTTTGTTCTCTGTTGATATATTAGTGACTTGCTGTGTTGCTGTTGGTGGGAGGGTTGTTTTTTCTTGGCACGTCCTTGATTAGGCTGCTGTTTATTGTTTTTCTGTTTGTCTGGTGTTAATCCCTGCTTATCTGGGTGTTGATTGCTAGGGAGGAGGTGTTTCAGTCTTTTTGTTTTCATCATCTCTTTTCTTTCTTTACTACATTTACATGCTACCCATCTTTTTTTTTTCCAAAGTGACTCTGGCCATCTTGCAATCCAGTAAAATCATAAATGTAGAAACATTAACAGGACTCAGATAAAAAAAAAAGCCTATACACCAAGAGTACGAACAACTGATTCCTGAAATAGGATTTCTCCAGGCACATGAATGAATTCAAAGAAAAAGGAATCCTTTTCTATTTAGCTAACATAATACCATCAGGACCAAAAACCTACTATACAATTTTCCCCCCATCGGGCTCTGGAATAGAACCTTCAATGAGATGCATATTTTGAAGGGTGTGGAAATATTGTTTATCTCTAAGGTGACCAGACGTCCCGCTTTTGGCGGGACAGTCCCGCTTTTGAGCAATTTGTCCCGCGTCCCGCGGCGTTTTAAAAAAGTCCCGATTTTTCATTCTGCCTCCTGAATCCCCGCTGCTGGCTAGAGGGAAAAAACCTGTTTAAACTCTTGCCGCGGGGCTTCAAAGGGCCGACCTACGTTGATTAGCTCGGCTTCCCCTCTCAGCTGATTTGCGCAGGGCTCTGCTCTTCCTAAATTGCTCCAGCAGTTTTTTTTTCCTCTTTGTGCAAACCAAGCTCAAAACGAAAGTGAAACTGGCTGTTGGCTTTGCTGTTTGCTTGCAACGTTGGAAAATTAGGCAGCAGATTTATTTTCCTTTTCCTCACCAAAAAAGGTAGGTGTAAACAATGGGAAATTATTTAGGGCAAAAGAGGAGAGTTCAAGATTTTAAAACACAAAAGAAAAAAAAGCTCTTTTTAACTAGGGAATTGTAATAATTGAGATACTATTAATTGTATACTGTGTTGAAAGCAGAAATGGTTAAGTTGTGGTTTGGAGGAATATATGGGGGAAATTATTTGGTTTATTATTATTGGTAAGTATAATTAATTGATTTGTAAGAAATTGGATTGCATGGAAATAATTGGAATATTCATGTTCATATTGATTAATATACAAAAAAGATAGTTATATAACTAATTGATTTATATTAAAATGTTGAATTTGTATTAAACAACTGTATTACATAATTACATAATTAAACAATGTGAGGATGGATATAAAAATAGATGACAATGGGAAGGGGTATAAAATAGAATAGAAGGGAAAAATTGAATTTGATTAAGATTAGAGATGAGGATGAAGGGTAATATTGTTTTTTTAAAAAAATAGATGAGGAATAAATATGGCAAAAAGGAAATATAGAAATTGTAAATTTAATTGAAATGACTAAACACTGTTTAAATTTGTGAACCAGCCAAATATTCTGTTCAAAGAAAATACATTGTATGTATGTGTGTTTCTAATTATTGCTATTTATTCATATTTGTTCTCTTTTATTCTTTAAAGTTTAACAATTCATTCTTTATCTTAATATCTTTATATTTGTTTGGGGTTGGCTTTCTTCCCTTTCATCTTTTTTATTGTACAGCAATCTTTCTCCTCAAACCTACCACCTCTCTCTTTTCTTTCCTTCTTACTTTCTCTTCCCCCCCTCTTCTTCTCCTCCCTACTTTCTCTTCCTTTCTCCTTCTCCTCCTCTCTTCCTCCCTCTCTTACCCTCACTCCTACTCTAATTTCCCTTCATCCCTCTCTATTGCTGTATCCTTTTATGCATATGGACTACTCAGAGGGCTGAAAAAGTTATTTTTGACTGGTCCTCGCACTTTTGACCAGTCCTCGAACTTACGACTGTCCTCACATTTTACGTTTTTTGCCCTATCTTGTCACCATGGTGAAGAGAAGCAGTTGTGAAATGAGTGACATGGTTGTTAAGAATGCTGCACGGGCATAAATGTGAGGATGGTCATAAGTGTGAGGACCAGTCAAAAGTGCGAGGACCTGTCAGAAATGACTTTTTTCAGCCCTCTGGTTAGTCCTTTTGTGCATATGGACTACTCAGAGGGCTGAAAAAGTTATTTTTGACTGGTCCTCGCACTTTTGACCAGTCCTCGAACTTACGACTGTCCTCACATTTTACGTTTTTTGCCCTATCTTGTCACCATGGTGAAGAGAAGCAGTTGTGAAATGAGTGACATGGTTGTTAAGAATGCTGCACGGGCATAAATGTGAGGATGGTCATAAGTGTGAGGACCAGTCAAAAGTGCGAGGACCTGTCAGAAATGACTTTTTTCAGCCCTCTGGTTAGTCCTTTTGTGCATATGGACTACTCAGAGGCTGAAAAAGTTATTTTTGACTGGTCCTCACACTTTTGACCAGTCCTCGAACTTACGACTGTCCTCACATTTTACGTTTTTGCCCTATCTTGTCACCATGGTGAAGAGAAGCATTGTGAAATGAGTGACATGGTTGTTAAGAATGCTGCACGGGCATAAATGTGAGGATGGTCATAAGTGTGAGGACCAGTCAAAAGTGTGAGGACCTGTCAGAAATGACTTTCCAGCCCTCTGAGTAGTCCCTATACACATAGCCACGGCCACCCGGTCACATGACCAGCTAGCCACGCCACCCAGTCACATGGCCTCCAAGCCACGCCCACACAATAAGCCACGCCCACAATGGTGTCCCTCTTACCAATGTTAAAATCTGTTCACCTTACCCTATACACATAGCCATGGCCACCCGGTCACATGACCAGCTAGCCACGCCCACCCAGTCACATGACCAGCTAGCCATGCCCACAAAATAAGCCACGCCCACAATGTCCCTCTTTACCAATGTTAAAATCTGGTCACCTTACCCTTGATGGCTGATTTATTGGAGGCTTCTCTAGCATTTTTGGACTTATTTTGTCTACCGTAGGAGGCTCACAGTTTTCCAGTAGGATCACTTTTGGGGGGAAAATGGCATTTTCTCCTTGCCATTCCTTGGAATTGGTGCTGTTCCTTCAGAGCCTGTCCCCATTGACTGATGGTGGGGGAGACGCCAGGCTGGTCCAGTCACAGCAAAGAAGATGGAAGCAGATTGGTCTTTCTCTCATATAAAGAATATCAGAGTTGGAAGGGACCTTGGAGGTCTTCGAGTCCACCCCCCTGCTCAAAGAGGAGAGACTCTATCAGTGGTGGCTAATCTTTTTCTCTTCGGGTGCCAAAATGCGCGAGGGGTGGGATTCAAAAATTTTAGCAACCTGCACCATGGCGGTGGTGTGTGTGGGGGGTGTTTTTGCCCTCCCCAGATTCCGGAGGCTTTCCCTGAGCCTCTGGGAGGGCGAAAACAGCCTCCCCTGGGCTTTGAAGGCCTGCTGGAGGCCGGAAATGGGCCCGTTTCTGGACTTCCGGGAGCCTATTTTTTGCCCTCCCCAGGCTCTAGAGGCTTTTCCTGAGCCTCTGGGAGGGTGAAAACAGCCTCCCCCAGGGCTCTGGAGGCTCTCCGAAGGCCGGAAACAGGGCCGTTTCTGCACTTCTGGAATGCGGGCGCCACTCCACCCGTGCTCTCCCCTGTCCCCTGTGCATCCCGAAAATCAATCCGCTGGTGGGAGGCACGTGTGTGTATGCGCAGTGAACGTAAACTGGGTGATGGCTCGTGTGCCTGCAGAGAAGGCTCTGTATGCCAGCTGTGTAGGTTCGCCATCACGGGACTATATCATTCCGGACAAATGGCTGTCCATGCATCGAAGTGATGCAACATCATATTAGCCAAGGGTCCCTTCGCAGCTGAGAGATTCTGCTTTTTAACCTTTTAGATTTTTAGATTAACAGAGTTGGCCTTGTAGGTCATCCAGTCCAACCCCCCACCAAAGCAGGAGACCCAACACCATTTCTGACAGGTGGCAGTCCGGTCTCTTCTTGAAAGCCTCCAGGGATGAACCTCAATCACCCTTCCAGATGTTGATCCGAAGGAAAATGCTACATCGCAGAGACATCATTGGGGGCAGGCGGAGAGTAGAGCAGAGAAAGGAATTACAGAGAGTCCTTGGGTTACGGCCACAATTGAGCCCAAAATTTCTGTGGTTACGTGAGACATGTGTTAAGTGAGTTTTTCCCCATTTTACGACTTTTCTTGCTACAGTTGTTAAGTGAATCACTGCAGTTGTTAATTCAGTAGGATAGTTGTTAAGTGAATCTGTGACCCCGATACTGCGACCGCCATAAATATGAGTCAGTTGCCAAGAGTGAAAAAAGGTCATAAGTCACTTTTTTCTGTGACTGGTCACTAAATGAATTGTTGTAAGTCAAGGACTACCTGTATTTTTAGTTTACTTACTGAATGCTGACCTAATTGTGCTTTCTCCCAAAGCAATATGCAAAAGGGCAATCATTAAAAATAAAAATCTGTCTTCCCCAAATGTTTCTAGGCAGCTTGTCCCTATAAATATCAATATTTATATTTATAAATATAAATATTATGGAGGCCACCTTATATGGGACACGCTTGTGAAATAATGTACAAACCGCAGCCTACTCAACTGTTTGCAATCTCCGGATTTCTTGGGAAAATTACAAACAGAAATGGCCAGTCACACATTGCACAAAGATATTTCATAAGCATGACTGGCTGGGGGATTCTGGAAGTTGAAGTCCACCCACCTTAAAGTCAACAAGGTTGAGAAACGGACAACGGTGGACAACAGAGTAAAGCACCTGAGGGAAGTACTCCATTTGGGAGGAATGGATCAGATTTTGAGAGGGTTACTCCTGATTTACTCTCTTAAGCAAACAACCCTGGTTTGGAAGAACATTGGAGAAGATAAACATGTAGCTTCTTTTCTAGAACTTCATGGAGTCCACTTTGGACGGGAAGCTCCTTGGAAACCTCTTAAGAATGGCCCTGGTTCTCCAAGACTTTTGATACGGATGTCCCAGGCTCACTTGTGCCCTTATGGCTCATAAACACCTTGACCAGAAGCCTGTGGGCATCAGTTGCCACATCCTCCACAAAAGTTTTCAACATGCTGTAGACCACAGCGAACGACAACCCAACCGAGGCCATGGGCACCAGCTGCTTTGGTAGGTTAGGCGCTCTGCTGGCTGCTTGGATGAGCAGTTCCACCACAAGTCCTTTGGTGACTGCAGCAGCCAGTGGAGACCTGACCAGGGCTTTCAACTGCTCAACGGGCTGGACTACATGTTCAGCGGTCCTCCTTAAGGACTCCTCTTCCAAGCCAAAGCTGATGCAGTAACCTCGCATGGTTCCGACCAGCAGGTCCACATTACACACCACTGAAATATCTGGGATAGCTTCAGTCTGGATCCCACAGGCCACCACAGCCACCAACCACAAGTGATCCAGCATCATGTCCTTCTTCTTCTCCAAGATGCGATGGGAGCTGTTGGGAGTGGCAAGGAGGAACGAATGGCTCTTCGGTAGATCCAGGTTTTTCTCCAGAGTCTCTTCCAGAAGATAGAAGTCATACTTGCTGAGTAAAGTGCTGGAAATAAGGAAGATCTTGGGAGATCTCACTTTCTCGGCTTGAAGATCTTGAAGGCAGTCTTCCCGGATCTTCTGCAAGGTGACCATCTCGTTGAAGCTAGATGGGTTGCTCTGACGGACCAATTCCAGATCTGCCTCCACTTTGGAGCGGACAAAATAGTATCCTTTGCCAGCTTTCTTGATATAATGAGCCAGCTTAGCATGGAAGGACCTGAAGTGCTGAGAAGCAATGATTAAGAAGAAGTCATAGGAAGCCACATCCATCTTCTCCACATAACGTTTGGCACTGAAGCCTGGATTCCCAATCTCTGGCAGATCCCACAGGATTACTTTGGGGTACTTGGGGTGTGGATAAGCCACAGGAGTTTTATGGGCCTCTGTCTTTCCAGTAGGAGCTGCCCCTTCGTCTTCCTCACAGAGGTCCCGAAAGGTGTTGATGAAGGTCGCCCTGTCTTCTCCCAATTCTCCAATGACGGCCACATTTAAGCTGATGTTCTCCAGGGAGGAAAAAGCATCCTGTAGGCGTTTGGTCAGCTGGTCAAAACTCCCCGTGTCAAGGCAGCCTTGAGGTCCTGGATCTGTTTTTCGGTTAGAGCAATTTTGTCATTCTCCACTTTCTGTGCCATGGGGGTCAACGCTGAACTTTGCTGGACAACCCAGCGAGGAAGATCTGAAGAACCAAGCAAAGAACATCGTGTTAGTAGACGTTGCGTGATAAAACAGAGTCCTGTGTGTAGGTTTTCACCATGCAGGGGTTGACAAAATGTGATCTTGCAGCTGGAATCCCTCGTCCTTCAATCCTGCCACAGAGCAAAGGTTGATAAGGTGCCATTGCTAAAACCTGGTCGTAATTTTAAACAATCACGTGAGGTTTCGGTAATATCACCTCAAAATCTTGTAAGACTCTCGCTCAAAATTCAATGACCTGTTGACCTGATTGGCTGGAATCTTATGAGGATTTGTATCTGCAGGAATATATGGATATTGCTATATCCTACCTATTTCAACTCTGCAGCAAAAACATGATAGGTAGATGATTGAGTGATAGATGAGATAGATAGATAGATAGATAGATGGATGGATGGATGGATAGATAGATAGATAGATAGATAGATAGATAGATAGATAGATAGATAGATAGATAGATAGATGGATGATAGATGGATGGATGGATGGATGGATGAATAGATGGATTGATATAGAAAGATATATATAGATTAGATAGATAGATAGATAGATAGATAGATAGATAGATAGATAGATAGATAGATAGATAGATAGATAGATAGATAGATGGGTGGATGGATTGATATAGAAAGATATAGAGATATAGATTAGATAGATGGATAGATAGATAGATAGATAGATAGATAGATAGATCGATAGATCGATGGAGACTAGAATAGAATAGAATGGAATGGAATGAAATGGAATAGAATAATATAATTGGACTGATATGAATGAAGGTAATCCTTGACTTACAACAGTTTGCTTAGTGACCTTCCAAAGTTATAACAGCACTGAATTACAACGACATAACAATGGATTAATATTAAAATGTAATTAATATTAAAATGTAACTAATATTAAAATGTAACTACAGCATTGGGTAGGACGAGAAACAACGGATGGAAACTAATCCAAGTGAAAAGCAACCTGGAATTAAGGAGAAACTTCCTGACATTGAGGACAATTAACCAGTGGAACAGTTTGCCACCGGACGTTATGGGTGCTTCATCATTGGAAGCTTTTAAGAAGAGACTGGACCTGTCTGGAATGGTATAAGGTCCCCATACTTGTCAAGTCCTACGAAGTCCCACGTATTTCCTAACAATTCCCCTTGATCGAAGTCAATCTTGACTGGCTTCTAAGCAGCTGCTGTAGATACGGAGCGCCAGCTGGCCCAGCTGAGCCTCCCAGTGTGAGGTCAGCGATGGAACCATAAGCAGAAGGAAAAAAAAAAAAGAGAGAGAAGAAGTCAGCTGAAGGAATGGAAAAGATTTGCATATTTTATAACCAAGAAGCACCTGGAAGGCAAACAAAAGCCACTTCTTTACAGGTGTGCTCCGAGAGATGAGGTGAGATAATATTATGCATCGCTTGCACGTTATAGCCCCATAAAACCATAATTTTGAAAAAAAAGAACAGAGAATGTTTCTCATGAAGACGCCCAATGTAAATTAATCAATCAATTAATTAATTAATTAATTAATTAAGAAAGAAAGAAAGAAAGAAAGAAAGAAAGAAAGAAAGAATCAAGTAAGACCCAAAAGGACAGTCATTTATCTGAAAAGGTATAGGGCCGTGATGGCGAACCTATTTATTTTATTTATTTATTTTATTATTCATGTTTCTATGCCGCCCACTCTCCGAGGACTCTGGGCGGCTTACACCAAAGACAGTATACTAAATATTGGCATATTGCCCCCCAACAATCTGGGTCCTCATTTTACGCACCTCGGAAGGATGGAAGGCTGAGTCAACCTTGAGCCGGTGAGATTTGATCCACTGATCTGCTGAACTAGCAGTCAACTGAAGTAGCTGCAGTACTGCACTCTAACCACTGCGCCACCTCGGCTCCTCTCTGTGTCCATGTGTGCTGTCACCAGCTGGTCTTTGCGGGTGCTGGAGTGCCAGAAAATGGCCAGAAAACGACCAAAAACCAGACCATTTTTTGGGGCCGTTTCTGGGCCATTTCCAGGTTGTTTTCCAGCCATTTTCCGGACTGTTTTCCAGGACATTTTCCAGGGCCATTTCTGGCCTGGAAAATAGCCCAGAAAACAGCCCAAACAGTCCGGAAAATAGTTTGAAAAATGGCTTGAAAACGTCCCCCCAAAACTGCCTGAAAACGGCCCCCAAAATAGCTAAAAAACAGGCATGCGCCCGCCCACCAACTGGACTTCGGGTTTCCGGTGCTCCGGCGAATGTACATGCACACACATGCACCGGCATGTTCCTGTTTGGGCATGTTTGGACTAGATGACCTCCAAGGTCCCTTCCAACTCTGTGAAGACACATTCAGGAGCAAACTACCATTCTTATACCATTTTTGGAAAAAAAAGAATGCAATGCAATGACCTTTAGTGCAAAGGGGAAGTGTGAGCTTCTTTGCACAATTGTCTGCAATCTCCGTGGGCTCCCTGCCCTTCATTCCACACCCATCCTCTGCTTGAGAAACTGCCAAACCACAGATCAATTTGGTTTACACAACTGCTCAGGACGGCCGCAAGAAACACAAAAGGCAAAGGGTTATCTTGCAGACACATCCTTGGAGAGCCTCGGTGCCTAGAAAGATTTCCCCCTCCCTCCTGTGATCCGTGACAATGGACTACAACAAAAACAAATTTCCAATGAACAGAACAGAACAGAACAGAACAGAACAATATGAGGAGAGGAGAGGAGAATAAAGAGAAGAGAAGAATGGAATGGAATGGAATGGAATTCTTTATTGGCCAAGTGTGATTGGACACACAAGGAATTTGTTTTGGTGCATGCACTCTTGGAGTAGATAAAAGAAAAGATACGTTCGTCAAGGATCATAAGGTACAACACTTTTTAAAAAAAAACAAACGTTTTTTATTTTTTAAACAAACGAACATTTAATACATCAGTTTTCTCTGTGACATCTCGGTGTTTTCTTCCAAAAATCTTTGTTGAAATATTTTCAGGATCAGACTCAATAAATTGTTCAAGAATTAAGAGTTCAAATATATCTCTCTTTATTTACATAAGGCATTCTATATTCACTGAATATTCACAGATAGAAGCACAGAATGAACGTATGCAGCTCCTTATATATACAATGGGTGGAGCTAATTATGGGAGTGGTAAAGTATGAATACATTAAGAAGTGAAGAATAAGTTAACCCCTGACACACTGTTCATATATTATTTACATAATGGAGAATAAGGCATTTACTTGTGACAAATCCCCCTCTAAATGCCGATTCGATATATTACAACAATTACATTCAGATTCAGAACAATATAATACATGTAACTTAGAAGTCAGGTATTTATGTTGCTTAGATGGCAAAGGCTTTGTTAGTATGTCAGTTATTTGCTCTGATGTTTCGCAATGAACTGCTTTGATAAATCCATCTTCAGACAACTGTCTCACGTGTTTAAATTTTATATCTATATGCCTGGATCTTTGTCCAATGGCATCAGATCTAGATATTTCGATAGCGGCTTTGTTATCTTCATGCATGATAAAAGGCAAAATGGGTTTTTTCCAAATGTCAGAGAGTAAATCATTGAACCATACAAGGTTATTAGCTGCCTTAGATAGACAAACATATTCTGCCTCTGTTGTTGAAGTGGCTACTAACTCTTGTTTGCCAGTATACCAATAAACTGGACAGTCATTGAGAAAGAATATATAACCAGATGTGCTTTTTCTACATGAGGTATTTCCAGCCCAATTCGCATCGGCATAACATGTGAGGATGGGCTCTTTGACATTTTTAGGTTCCAACAATAAACAAAAGTCTAAACTATTTTTCAAGTATCTTAATATCCTTTTGACAGCTTCCCAATGGTATAGTGATGGTTTACTAACGTGTCTGGACAATAAATTGAGAGGCAAAGCAATATCAGGCCTAGTCCAATTGGAGATGTAAAGAAGTGAACCTATGACAGACCTGTAAAATGTATTGTCTTTGAATTCAGGAGATGATTCTTCTGTATTCTTCAAAAAATCAGTTTGCATGGGAGTGTCACATGGCTTAGCGTTACTTAAGTTACATTTATTCAAGAGCTCTATGATTTTGTCCCTTTGTGAGAGTTTAAATCCTCTTCTGGTTTTACTGATTTGAACACCAAGATACTTATTTACTTTACCCAAAGATTTCAATGAAAAATGTTCATTTAGTTTTGTTACAAATGCCTCTTTCCTTTCTTTATGTTTACCTATGTATAAAATGTCGTCCACATAGATTAGTACAAATTCTACAGAATTATTATCTTTTTTAACAAAGAAGCAATTGTCGGCAGTAGTGGCATTGAAATTCATAGTTTTGAGAACTTTTACTAAACAATCATACTATTGTTTACCAGATTGTTTCAGCCCGTATAAACTTTTATTTAATAACCAAGTCTCATTTTTGTTTGTGCATTGACTGTGGGGTGCTCTCACATATATTTCCTTATCTAACTTTGCGTGTAGGTACGCAGTCTGTATATTGTATTGAAATACATCGAGGTTGAGTGCTGATGCTATAACCAGAGCTGTTTTGACACTCTCTGTTCTTACTGTGGGGGAGTATGTGTCTGTATAATCCTCGGGATATTTCTGTGCATAACCTTGTGCAACTAATCTAGCTTTGTATAGAGTATTGCCTCCTTCTAAATTCTTAATTTTATATATCCACCTAGTGCCAATGATAGTTTTGTTCTTTGGTGCAACTGTAGGGGTGAACACATTTAGCCCTCGTAAACTATCCATCTCTTTAGTCATGGCTGTTTCCCATTTTATCTTTTCTTCAGGAGGAAGCTTTAACACTTCCTCATATGTGTTAGGTATTGGTGATTCTCCATCCATATACATTACATAATCTTTGTATTTATTTGGCATTTGATTTCTGCTACTTCTGGTTGTTTTTTCTGGTTTACTATCATTGTCATGTAAATATCTTGCTTCTTTTTTAGTTAATGAATCTGTCTTTATTTTATGTTGACTATTTGTTCATGTTCTAATTTTATTTTTATGTGTATTGTTATTGTGCTCTTCTCTAATTCTTTTTTCTTGAAGTTTGGTATCTGTATTGGTGTTTGGGAATATTTCATTAAGATGTATTTTAGACCAGTTGGCCTGTTCATGGAACACAGCTGTTCTGGAGACTATGAATTTATTATTATTATCGATAAATCTGTATCCTTTTGTACCTGTCTCGTATCCCATGAATCTAAGTCTCCTTTGCGCCTTAGTTGTTTAGGTATGTGTACGTCTGCAGTGACTCCAAATATGTGCATGTGTGCTAATTTTGGTTTCCTATTATACATCACTTCGTATGGTGTCTTATTTACAATGCTGGACCAAGTTCTATTTTGTGTGTAATTAGAGTATTGTAGGGCTTCTGACCAGAATTGTTTACCTAAGCCAGCATCTTCTAAAGTGCATCTAATCATGGTTTGTAATGTTGAGTTCTTTCTCTCTGCCATTCCGTTCTGGAATGCAGAAAATGGACTAGATGTGTAATGTAACATCCCTCTGTCTTTTAGCCATTGGGAGAATTCCTTAGACATGAATTCACATCCCCTATCTGTCATGATTTGTTTTATTTTAATATTGTGTTGTGTTTCTATACGTTTGTAAAACTCTTTAAATTTCTGAAAAGTTTCATCCTTATGTTTTAATGTGTAAACAAATCCATAACGACTATAATCATCCACAATTGTTAGAAAATAACGCTTTTTATAAGTAATAGATGGTGTTAGTGGACCAACTAGGTCCATATGTACCAAATCAAAAATTTTGTTGGTTGATCTCGTTGACTTTCTAGGTCTGGGACTAGTTTTGAGCTTTGTGGATTTACATACTGAGCATTCCAAATAGTTTTCACAATTTTTTATTTTAACACCTTCTGCATGTTCAGTCATCTTTTGTACTACAGGAAAACTGGCATGTCCTAATTTCCTATGTAAGACATGAGCGCACTCATCATGGTTTACCTATCTTAGGTTTTTTTTCATTGTGTGTATCTTTGTGATTATGGGTTACCTCACGTTCTTCATTGTCACTGTTACTATTCTCTCCATTATCTATTTCATTATCATTTTCTATATTTGAATCAATGTTGTGTAACCATTCTTCCTTTGTCATTAAGTAAGGTAGACCTCCTTTGGTTATTACTGTACCTATGTTTATTTTGTTTTTTTC